GGATGGCCGGATACTTAGACAACTTTATTGAAGACTACGCAAGCATCGCATCACCACTCCACCRACTGACGAGAAGAGAAGTCAAGTTCCAGTGGGGAAAGAAAGAACAGAAGGCATTCCAGACAATACAAAACAGCCTATCTGACAAGAAGACAATGGCATACTTCGACCCAGACAGAAAAATTATCCTGAGAACAGAGGCAAGCTTCAACGAGGGTTTATCTGCAGCTCCACTTCAGCAGACAGAAAGAGGTATGCAACCGGTACACTTCATAAGCCGCACAATGACAGATGCTGAAAGAAAATACAGCCAGACAGAGAAAGACGCACTCGCCATCAAGTGGGCCAAAGATCGACTAAGAGTGTACTTACTGGGAGCGCCAAGGTTCACAATCATCACGGCACATAAACCATATTACCACTATTCAACAGGACAAAGACCAATATGCCTCCAAGGATTGAGAAGTGGGTTATGCAGATGCAAGATGTAGACTATGAACTGATCTATGAACCCGGAAAGGACGAAGCCGACCCAYTAGACTACCTCTCCAGGCATCCATTACTCGAGACAGAAGACGACGGCACCGAGAAGATCATCAAATGGACTGTAGAAGCAGAGCATTCAGTAGTTCTGGAAAGGATAAGAGAAGAGACCCTAAAAGACGAGACATTGCAGAAACTATCTCAGAGGATAGCGAAAGGTGACTGGGAGAAATTCCGAAAAGACAGAGACATAGAACCCTACACACACATCAAGCAAGAACTATCAACAGCGGAAGGATTGATCTTTAGAGAGGAAAGAATTGTAMTACCAGAGAATCTTCAAAGAAAAGTAGTGAAGATAGGACACAGTCTAGGACACCTTGGGAAGACAACGACAAAGAGAATGTTAAGAGAGAAGTCTTGGTTCCCGTATATGAATCACATGATAGACAATGCTATTGACCAATGTTACGAGTGCCAGGTTGCAACGAATAACAAACAAACAGAACCAATCAAGGCTTCRAGTATTCCAGACAAGCCCTGGGACACTGTATCACTGGATCATGGCGGACCCTATCCTGACGGACACTACAACCTAGTCATTATTGACAAAAGAACAAGATACCCTGTCGTAGAAAGAGTATCATCAACTTCTTTCACAACCAACAAAGAGAGGTTGAAACATGTATTTGCGACA